CAGTTGCCTTTTTCTGTCCCCTCAATGTTCAGCTTCTCATAGCAGAACTTCTCAGCTGCTGTTGCCTCTGAGGGAAACAGAAATGAACCTTAAAAACAAAGTTTTACCAGCTAACACTTGATTTATTCAGCTCCTGTACGTCTCACTTACTCTCTCCCCAAATGTACTTGCACTGCCGGTCTTTGGTTTTACATCTTCCACTGAAGCAGCGACCCTGAAGACAAGAAAACTGAGTTCAACCTTCGAATCAGAGACAGGAAGACGTTCAAACATCAAACGTCTTACTTGGTCTTTTTCACATCTGTAACCATCCATCTTATGCACATTAGGTGGACACTGAAAAAACACAAGGCCAAGAAAGTTATGATGATGAATATAAAAACATTAAAGCTTATTTGATAAATAACAACAACAACAACAACAACAATAATAATAATGATAATAATGTGATTTTGCCTTTGGTCAGTTATGATAAAACACAAGACAAAGGTTTTTAGCATAGTTTAGTTTAATTTTTTGCATCAAAATATAACAATGTAACTGCATAAAAATAATAAAATAATACCTCTATCACCTTCTACGCACAACTGTTCAAGAAAAAAGTTGTTAGTGCAAAATAAAAGCAATAAAAAAACAACAATGTAGCAGTGTTTGTAAATGTAAACAATGTCACCAACACAACAAAAACAACCTTAATTGCATGCAGGCATGACGACTGAGTAACTCCAAACCACTTTGAGATGCTGCACTGCTGACTTTATATTTCACTTTATTTGTGAAACACAAAGTCTTTAATGCAAATAAAGTGTAAAAAATAATTTTCATCCAATCTGATCCTCATCTTGGTATCAATAGTATCGATCGATACACCCATATACCTCACTGCAAACCTTGCTGCCATCCATTTGGTCTCTTGCGCACATAATACACCTTCCTTCAAGTAATTCCAGGCCTTTAATTACATTGTGTATGTTAGATACAGAAAAACAAAGAAGCACTTTTAACTTTTCTAAACTGTTTTTAGTCATTAGCTTCAAATCAACTTTTAAATGTTTGTTTCTGTAATCCTGCTCAGGAAATTTACAACCGTATAGAAAAAGGCGACTTTCCAAACTAAAGGTGACGACTCTCATCAGTCAACAAGTGTTGTTTTATTTCAAACCATTCCCCTCTAACATCTGTAAAACTGAATGCTTTGCTGCAAATTCATTCCCAAGAGACAGCATGCCTCACTGCAACACAGCACAACTTTCTGCTGCAGGAAAATGAGCCTTTACATACAACGTTGGCTCACGGGATCTCCTAATATTTGCACTTATTATTTGGAAAAATAAACAATTTATGCAGCGAGTTTGGCTATTAGGAGGTCATTTTACTAATCTTCAGGCAAATGACTGTGTTGCTTTTGGCTAATGTCTTTGGATTGATTGTACTGAAGCATGACAGAGCCTGAATTAAAAACACATCTTGTAACTCATCTTTTAATGTGAGACCAATTATTTTTGCTCACGTGACTGTCGACAAAGAGAAAAAAAAACAGTGGCAGGGGAGTGCACGTGTCATGCAAAGAAATATGAACTTTATATGATTTAGTATTTTTGATGAAAGCCAAGAAAAGTTTTGCTTTTGCTGTTTTAATTAAACCTCCCCTGTGTTCTGACAGTTTTCTTGTTGAATGTCTTCTGCTTCAGTCCCCAGAGAAATGGTTGGAATTCACATGTAGCATTTCATCAAGTTGTTACTGAAGAAAGACATCACACCTGAGGGAAAACGCTCRGGACGTAGTGTCGGCCGCTAATGCTAAACAGATGAGGTCTGTCATCTGCCYTCCTGTATCAGGCTCACTTCTGTATTTACATTTGGACAGTAAAGCTGCTAAATAATCCAAAACTTTTCAAATGAAAGAATTACTCTCTCCTGAATGCAGACAAGGAACAGAGCAGTGAACGAAACAAAACACATTTTGGACTGTGAACAAGACGTGTTGAGTTTAAGCAGCAATTAAAGCATTATTTCATTAAATTCACTGATCTGAACACAAACATGCTAAACATCTTGGTTTGGGTTGGAAGTGAAGGGTGGAGCTGGAATTCTGACTGTGGAAGAGATATTTATATGGGGTTTGTTTATTTCAACTTTCGACCTCATCACGTCCAGATCATTGGGAGACGTTGCTGTTAGGAAAACATATTAARTAACCATAACATTATGACCACCGTGGATAAAAAGGTTTGATATGTCAGGTTTTTCATCATGTGGATGGTGAGGTCCTGGTGTCGGGCTCTCCTGGAGGAAATTGTGACGTCGTTAAACTCAAAAGAATGTTGCTTTGACTCATTCATGCATGTTTGAAAAAAAAAATCCTTGAAACTCCTGTGGTGGACATGTGGGGCTGCCTAAACGCTTGCTGGTACAAAGCTCCGCCCATTTACCAAAAGCTCCTCCCTGGGGCTCAGTCTGCAGCTGAGCTCCCACCCCATGGAGCACCCCCACCCCCCAAAGCCTTGTTTGAAAACCAGAGGTCTATAGTTACTAATTTACTTAGTAAATTATTTTGAGGATTTGTAATTTACCAAGTATTTATTTGAAATCGTAACTTTTATTTGTGCTTTGTTACATTCAAAACCTAAAAATGATACTTTTTCTTCTTTACTTTACAACTTAACATCTAGTCACGATTTATGTATGTAAATATGACCAAACTCAATGGAATTGGTTTGCTAAGTAAATTTAATAATTCATTTCTTAGAGTGTGTGTAAAAGTATTTTTACTTCCCTGATTATTGTGAGCAGTTTTGTGGCTTTTACTTAATACTTTTCTTATCAGTGAAACTCAGTTTTACCAGTCATTTTCTGTTAAGGCATTTTTACTTTCACTTAGTTGTTTCCTTCAAGTACTTCATAGACTTCTGTTGAAAACATACTGAAGTGGGAGTGTCAGAAACAGTAGGAGGTTCTTAAAGAGACAGAGACCAATAGGCATTTGGATAGGCATTGATGCAAAGTCAAATTTATGTCAGACATATCAGCGGGTTCTGATGTTATCAGTCCATGAAATGGACATTATTAGTAGTTATCAGTCCCATGGAATGGCTTCAGTCTGTCCCCACTGTGCCTTCTAGCAGGTTATTAGTCCCGTAGAATGGCTTCAGATATATACAGCATTTTCACAACAACTTAAGCTTACTTGATTGTGGCGTAGGATTGAACTGCATGCCTAGAAGATACATAATACCCCACTAAAGAAAGGGTGATCACCCATTGCGTTTCATGCCATCTTGATTCAACTTTGAAATGATTATATTTTTAGAAGTAAAACTATTGTTATCTCCACAAGTCAGAGAAGAGAGGAAGGTAGTGGTGAGATAATTGAGGACATAAACTTGGGACGAAAGCATGAAATATACACGGCATGTGCTTTAGCCCACATAGTCATGAGGACACTCAGGATTCCAGTAAGTGTTTTTTACCCCGGACACCATTTTTGCTTTGAAGCTGTGACTAACGTCTCAGTCACACACAACCACTTCCATCACAGCTACCCATGCAGGCATGCCGTTTTTTTTTTCTGCTCCGTGTGCCACTTCCCATTTATGTCACGTTTGTTTTTGAAACCCGAAACTGCCGATGTTTACAAGAACCAGATAATTCAATGTGTAAAGACCAGACCAGAGGTATTTTTGTCACGTTGTTTTTGTCTTTGAAGCGTCTTTAAATTATTGTTCCCTGAGGATGTACAGAAAACTAAAATCTATAGGAATCCCACTCATTATCACTCARCACTGAAGACGATATTGCTTTTATTTTGTGTGTTTGTCTGTATTGTTAGCAAAATCTCGGGAAGTGTTAACTGGATGTACAACATAATAAACTTTTAGAAATATGGTCACCACAACAAATCAACCTTAATAACACAGAAATAACTATACCTCAGTCAAGTTTTATATTATTTATTCTTATTAAACCTTTTTTAACCAGACAAAAACCTGTTGAGATCCAGACCTCAGCAGACGCCACAATAGAAAATATAAGAAAACAAAAAAATTACAAAATAAACACTAAAACAGTCAACAATTTGATATTAAAAGACAGTGTTATGACAATCTAATACAGTGAACAATGTAAGATTTAAAACACATGCATTGTTGACATGATAATTGTTGTCATTCTTTTAATTTTTTTCTAAAAGCATTCAGTGAAACAAATTTTACTATTATTTGCATATGTTAAGCTAACACCTTGGGTGGTAGTGGCTGAGCATCATACCCAACTCAGGGCTACTTGTCTGCAAAATTCTGATAGCAATAAAATAACTTTTGCATTAACTGGTGGAGTCAGTCCTGCCTGTTAACAAATAATCTCTTAAACCAGTGGAGAAAAAAAATGGAATTTTCAGAAAAAAAAAATCACTGGATCTGACACWGATTAACTTTCGGAGTCAAACTTATTTAAGATGGCTGCCACAACTGATCGATCTTAGCAAAAACAAAAAAATTGGCAATAAATCAGCCCGTTTTACAAACACTGAGCTAGTTTTGGTGCGGGTGTAGCTGAGCTGTCAGCCATCCCTTCACGTACTCTGAACTATAACAGATCACTTTAATTTTTATTTAAAATCCTGGCTTGCAAAATGAAACATAATGTGCATTTCTTTAAAAAAAAGTTTCATATTTTTTACCCTTCTTCTGACTTTGTTAAACAACCAACATTTGACCAAAGACGAAGACAGAGTGTTTTCCACGAGTCACCTGACAGGATCAAACACTTCCACCACTCAGTCTTTATAAGATAAAGCATATGTGGTCGTTTCCATTTTGTGAAACCCTTTTGAAGATTCCACTAAAGAGACAGAATCAGAGGTTTGCTCGGTGACCCTCAGAGGACTCACGTTCTGTTTGATGTTCACCAACACAGCTACTTTAAAGTGGAAATGTACAGATGTACCGTAGAAGAAGAYCGGACATTGGTAAACCTTTATAGACATCAAAAAAGCCTCTCTTTCACAAAATAAATAAAAGTGCTGGAGGCAAGTGGAAACAGGGTATTTAATTTTTCTATTAAATATGTAATATTGTACAATTGAGTTGTTTATTTTATTGTGTTTAATGCACTCAAACCCATTAACATATTTTAAATATGTTGCTTTTTAAATCGGACTTCACTGGTTTAAGGAAATACACATGTTTAGATACATTTCCACAAAGATATCAATATATTACCTGATAAAATGTGTGTAAAGTGTTAGTTTTATTTTAAAAATGAGTTTTTCTTAATACCATATAGTTATAAAGGCATGTTTCCCTGACAGTCTTTCTAATATTTCAATTTATGAACTTACATCCGTGGAGTTATGAACCACAGGATCTTGATCCCAAGTGAGAAATTAGGCAAGAGATTTCACTTTTCTGTGATGTAGAAACAATAATGATCTATATGAAAAAATAATCTGTTAACAGATCATACATCAGCCGTGCTGTCTGTGACTTTAAACAGAGCCACAGAGGATGATGGAGTAAAGAGATGAAGTCCAGGTGTGTGTGTGTGTGTGTGTGTG